ACGAACAGATGCTTCGCTCCATCGAGACACCAAAGGGCAGGAATCAACACATGTCTACTCCAGCAAACAACACTCCTGTGAATATAACAACAGCGGTTTCACTTCGAACCGGCCCCTAAATACACGCACACAGCTACCAAGTAGCACACCACGATAGTTGACGTGAACATGAGTGGCAACCCCCCAACCTCCCGTCCACGGAACACCCCTAATTGCACTTCACAAACGTGGGCGAGTTGCACCGTGCAAGTGACTGTCACAGGCACGCTGCATCTCGCCCACGTTTGTGAATTGCAACAGTGGCGCTCCGTACACCGGGGGATGGAGGTTCCCACTCACGGTTGTGTCGTATTGCGTGATGCGCTAAGGGGTAACGATTGCATGCATCGCTCGTCACGGATAGAATTATCATCAATAACGGAATAAGATCCCATCACTCGTGACGACCAGACCAATTGCTCGTCCCGACTGTTGCGATCACTCGCGATGACTACAACCATCATCCGACACGACTAGACCAATTACGTGTTACAAACAGATGGGTCACTTCTCACTGATAGATTCATCGGTGACGGATAGGCTCATCAATATTTGAAACGACGGATAGATAAATCTCTAGTGACCGATAGATCGATCACTCCCAGCTAGACAGACTACTCTTCACGACTAATGAATCGAGTACGTGGAGAGACTGTGATTTGGTTTAGGAGAACGGCAGTTAGATTTGCGTTTCCGACAAAGATCGAGGTTGCGCACGAGAAACCTCCGACGATTCATGTTGATTCCGGATGATAGCCTTTCCTCACTTGTCATCAGTAGAGGGAGCTTTTTTTTCTTCACAGGTCTCTGATGTCATGGTTTTATCCTCAGATTTTTCTCGCGTCTAAACACAAACAGCCGCCCTCAACCAAGGGTCAACGTGAATAAATATTCCAAGACACATCGGCCTCCTAATTTTGCGTCATTGCGTAAGGTGCACCGTGGATAGAAAACCCTCTCAGTAGGGGGGTTAATGACTTGGGGCCGTGAACGACATCCGCCATACTAATTCCTGTACAAAACAGAATACAAAATTGCCCTGCCGGGGGAGGCGGGGCTATTTGTAGGGAAGGTCGAACACACGACAGGTGCCCTACAGCCCTGAAAGCGAAGTCAAACAGCGTGTACGTGCAGGCCACGGCGTGCACCGTCTCTGACCCTCCTGAACCCCGCAGCCAAAACCTGCCACGCCCCAAAAGCAGCGACTACACTACAGTGGAGTCGCTACAACAGCTCTATCCCCACACAACTTTCCCTTCGTACTCACGTTTCCCGAAGCCGCTGACTGTGCCGGACACAAAACTCTCGACGTCGATAAATCCCTACTCTCGAGACGCCCTCGTGAGTGTATGACAGCGGCGGTGCTTGCGGTCAAAAGTTGGCCGACCACGAAAAATGTTCACTTGATGGTGGGGCCGTCAACATCTTATCTCGCGTCCACGGCACGCGCATGGGACACCCATCGTTGACGGTGGCCGAAAGCCACAGGTGGTCGCCGTGTCAGAAAAAGGACCTAGTACATGGGCAAATTCGAGCAACGAACCAAAAAAAAGCGACGAGGGTTGATCGTCAGTCAAGAGCACGCAACAAGCAGCCTAAACCATGCGCTGGTCAGTGTCGTGTATTCGTCAAAAAAAAAATGGACACACGAAGAAACATGCTCTGAGCACTGACACGTGCACGGCCTTCGCCGTCTGGCTTCTGTCAGCTCGACTCCAACAAGAGAAAAGAAAAAAAAAAAGCAGACCACGCCTGCAGGCTCCGACATGGTCACAACCGAACGTCTAAAAAGACACCACAAAAAACAATGTAACGGCAATGGAGACACGCGGCGGTGGGAAAAACGTCTCACTGAACACCCCACAACCTCACAACCCGCGCATCAGCATCGAAAACGACGCCACGCGGGTGGTAGCGAGGACCGTGGGAAGCCACAAGACAGGACGCCGCAGGTACTATGTTGCCTTGAGTTTTCTCTTGGGAGGGTTACGCGGAATGAACGCTAGCGGGGAGACCCGTAGGGCAAAAACTGCCCGGGACCCCCCGCCGCCAGCGCGGGAAATAAAACTCGGCCGTATGGCAAACAAACAGTAACACACACCGCGACCGTCAGCACGGCAACAGCACAGAAAATCTGCGGACGAAACCCATCCAATCCTCACAGGGAGGACGAACAGGCTTCTCTGCGCATGATGCTTTGGGTTGCGTTCATGATGCACTTCGTTCGCTCGCTTTTGACCTCCGCTGGCGCGCTGCTGTAGAAACCGCCACTCCCCGTGAAGTGGGTATTGCCTGTCCCGTATCTGGACTCCGTCAACAAAGACGCTAGCGGTGGCTTGTCCAACACCCGTTACGGCATATACTACTGTGAATATCAGGTACCACAGAGTAGCGAGCACCAAACAAATATTCATCATCAAGGTAGATTGCGTTATCGCACCAACGTCCCGCCGTTCCAATACCATAAAAAGTCCGAGCGGGGGAGGACAACGAAGATCAAAAAAAGGATCGCGTGCAATCCTAAAGAACACCACTTGTACATATTTTCCGCATCACATGATAGGTTTTGAGAGTCAAGCCCATGTTTCAAGAACCAAGGCTCTGGATTTAGGTCAGCGAGAGCCGGCAGCGAACCTAGTAAACGGTACAAGTGCTGTGAGCGCTGATTTTGAATGATTTCAATCAAGACAAAAAAAAATCCTTGGAATCTCTTTCTTCTCTCTTCCGAGACCTTCTCTCGAAATCTCAACGAAGAAACTGCCAGCCCTTAGTGGTGACGACTACTGCGACCTGGGCCTTCCCACAACGAGGTTGGACCGATTTTGATTTTCAAAGCTCGAGCTCCACATGACGCGCCAGCACCAAACGATACGTTCTCGGAAAGTTATCGACGATACGGTTCCAGCACCGCCATTTTCGGCACCCTCATTGTTTGAGTTGCAGAGTTATTGGGCTGTGAAAATCGGTCGACGAGGGGTGTGTGGTGCATCTGGCGTGCAAAATCTGCATTTCGTACATAGGTACCATGGAGACCCGCGAAGACATAGCCGAAAACGAGACACTGATCGGGTCGGAGACGCAGACGAGGAGGTGGTCTCGTGAGCGAAGCCAGGGATTCGGATCCCTGCGGTGCAGGAAAAATAACTAGGTGTCACAACGACCTCGCTCGGTGTTGTCTCCTATCCCCCACCCATCCCCTCGGTGCTCGGAGGAGGGCACAGCGCGTCGTGTCGTGTCCAGGGGGTGAAATAAAAATTATGTTGTGCTTCGAAGCACGTGTATTTATAGTTGTCTCAGGGGCATCACCATCCGTGGTGAGCACAGGCCTCCGAGCTGTCGAAGCGCTGCTGCTGCAACAGCAGATTCGGGTCTGCGATTCTTGTGGTGTAAGCTCTGCAGGATCATATGCTGGATCTGTCTGTTGTGGGGCAGTCAAACGACGAAAGTCATCTCATCTGGCAACTCGTATGCATTGAGCAGGGGGGTGACTGAGAAACAAAGGGCGCCTTCACATCCACCCCCGCGCCAGAGAGAGAGAGAGAGAGAGAGAGAGAGAACGGTCGGCGAAACGTGGCAACAGTAGCCGAAGCCGTCCCCTACAAGAGGGCACCTTGAGGACACTGCCCGTCTTATTTACGGCTGTGCACAACAAACAAGCCCACAAGGGAATTCGAACTGCTGGGCCGCGCTGCTGGGCCGCGCCACACTCTTCTTTGGTTGGCCAGGAACATCCTTGTCCACTCATGACACACATGTCTTCGGAAATAGACGAAGCGCATAACCCTTGAGTCCCAATGCCCCAAGCAAGCAGACGGGGCAGTGCCATCATCACTACCTAAGCGAAATGCGCATGCCCGTCCTACGCGCGATGCTGCTGCAACACTGTGACTCCGGGGGTTCTAGGGTCGAGGGAGGAACAGAGCGCAGCGCAGCATGCGATCCATACCTTTTGCACACATTGCTGAAGCCCTGATGTGGCTTGCGCAACGCGGAGCCTGCCAGGTCAGGAGAGGTCTTGTGTTTGGTTGTCAACGGGGAGTGGCACAGCAGCCCGCATAGGTGGTCCACTCGGGACTAGGTAAGAAAGGGGGTTGGGGGTTGGGTGTGGTTGCTCAGTCGGGGCAACCTCGTGAGGGGGTCACACTACTGGGACTGCTAGCGAAAAGGTCCCCCCTCTCTCTTGGGGAAAGCTGGGATTCATGGGGGGGCGTGTGGGGACCCACAAAATAGGAAAATAGGAAAATAGAAAATAGGACTCCGGCGACGCCTACGCGCGATGAAATATCATGTGATGCGGTCGTGAGATCGTGAGAGTTGGCCTCGAGAGCTAGACAAAGTGTTGGTGGTTGTGGCGCTCGTAGGGCAAAAAATGGCGGACTGCAACGGAAGAAGGATGAAACCGGTTGGAAATGATGACATGATGACTGCTGTGAGTACAGGAGGGATTTCATTCCATTAATTTGTCACCAGCTACGTTGTTGTGTAGCCTGCACTCCAGCCAAGGGGTAGACGGAAGAAAAGACTTATTGACAGCAATTCAACAAGAACACTTCCGTCCATAGTCGAAATTGTATGTAGTACAGCTGTACAACCCGCTCTTGTTATCGTGAGAAACTGTACAAGAAACAAACGTGTGGTGATTAGCCGTGTATGTATGCGTAGTCTACGTGTGTGTGTATTCAGAAATGTTTTTTTTGCAGACGCCTCAGAAATTTTATCCCTTCACAGCAGTCCAAGGGGCTCGGAGTACTTCCAGAGATGTGAAACGGTCCCTGACACGCTAAATAGTCCAATTCTAACGAGGACTGACCAAACAAAGTGGACGAGAAGCACCATTTACTCGTTCAAGGCGCAACAACCCCACGGCGTATCCCGTTTCAACGAGAAGTCGCTGATCAGTCAAAAGCGCTGGAATAACACCTACAGAGGCAAGACCCACGGGTACTCGCACAAAAATACGAGAGTAAACAAGACAGCTTCTTTCCCTACGGGGTACTTTTGCGTCGCCTTGCCGACGATGACGACCTTGCTTCCAATCGTGCAGCTTGCGCGATATCACTGGAATTCCCTGCGCTTGTTCGTGCCCCGGCTGACAAGACATACATGTAAGGCGCAGATAGACACAGAATAACCATATGATAAAAAAAAAATGGGAATATTCTTGGTGTGCTCCAGCCCACGGAAAGCCCCCCGCCAGGCACAGAGACACAGAGTCAAACCCTCGTCACTATCAATCAAGAACAGAGTTCTTCAATCTTTCTACACCAGCTGACACGGTGGGCATCCCAGGCACCGAAACAACTATGTACACGCTCCCGAGAAAAACGCCTCTTCCTTGCACCCACCCGTACCAGAAGAATCAGACAACACACAGCAGTTCTTAATTTCGTTAACTATCCAGCCTAGCCTACCGGACGACGAAAAAGGAAGAAACACCAACCACAAAGAGAGGAGCATGCTGACGTAGGAGCAGACCCCCATCTCCACCAGACACTATTTGCAGAACAGATCCATCCACCAGACAGAAGAGCATGCCGCCGTGGCAGCAGCCGCCTGAACACAATAGGTCAAACCCATACACCATCAAGAGGAGGAGGGTTCTTGCTCGCAGTACTCCAGCTGAGCCAAGACCACCTTCCTCACGGAGCCCGCGTGGGAGAGGTCTCTCTGCACCACGCCCGGGTTGGTGGCTTCCCCGATAGCCCCGTCGGAGTACACCCAGGGAGACAGCCCGTCCATCTCGATGAGCTCGCACATCTGCGGACGCGATCAAGAGAGAGAGAGGGCGGATAGGCGTGTGTGGGGGTTCTCGTCCCATCTATTCTGGCTGATACAAGTCTGCTGACAGGGGTGGGCAAAGACTCAGTAAGAGACGACGAAGGAGAGAGATGGAAACAACCATCCAGAATGAGGGAATGTGCTTGGAACAATGAGCGGGTGTTCTTGGATTACGGGCAAGTGAAGGGCATATATTGCACGTACTTTTGGGCTTGTGACCACGGAACGCGTCTGCGTAGGTTGGTCCAGGGTACGGATATCAGAAGGCACTGAGCGGAGACCGGAACGGTTTCTAACGCAAAGACAACAAGAACAACAATGGGTTAATTGGTAGTCCGGTCCTGGCTCCCGTCAAGGCATTCATATAGGACCGCCCGGAGTCGTCGAGAGCAAGTCTGCATGTTTCTCAAGGCTGGTCGCCTACCCCTCCCATAGGGAGATCAGGATCACCGAGCCGCCTCGTTCTATGGAACCCCCTGATCCGCGATGAGTGAGAAACAGACAACAACGAGCCATTCACTACGCGCACGCCAGAATAAAGAAGAGCACCAACTTCACTCTCTCTCTCTCCCTCTCCCTCTCCCTCTCCCTCTCCCTCTCTCTCGCACGCACTCTCTCTCCCTCTCTCACGCCCCCCCCCCCCCCCCCCCTCTCTCTCTCTCTCTCTCTCTCTCTCCCCACCACCCCTCTCTCTCCCCCTCTCTCTTCCCACGAACTCACCTCCGGTGCTTCTCGGTCCTCGGGAGGCAGGGGACCCTCGTCATACTGCGCTATCCCCGCTTGGAACGCCCGGTCTTCCGTCAAATGCCCCCCCTCGCCCTCCCCCTCGCCCTCCCCCTCGCCCTCCCCCTCGCCATAGGCCCTCCCAGAATCCACCTCCCTGTACTCCGCCACCCCAACTTCGAAAACCCTCCCCTGCAATTCATCGTATTCCTCCACGTCGTCCTCGTCCTCCCCCCCCTCTCCTTCTAACCAGGCGGCTGCCGCGGCATGGACCGCCGCATCTTGCCGCTCCTTCTCGGAAATTTCCTCCGGCGTGGGCTCGACCTTGGCGATTTTGTCCCCGGCGCGATAGAGGGGTACCCCCAAGGCCTCGCTCACGCTCTGCGCTTCTGCTGCCACCTGTGTTGTTTTCGTATGGACGGATGCACTCATGAAAACGCATGCCGTAGTCATAAGACCGTTGACCTTACAGTGGACGGAAGTGGGATAAGGCATGAAGAGTAGGGGGTCTTGCAAATAACCCTGCGTCACCCCCCTCTTCGATGGTGGTGGTTGAAGGAGGAAAGTCTTCGAAGGGACATACTCCGGGAATCGAGGCACACAAAGAGAAAAGAAAATGGCGAGCTAGCTTTGATGAAAAACAGACGAGGCGCGACACTAGCGGTCAAGGGTATTTTGAGTGCCACGGCGGCCTTTCATCAACCACGACATCGACTACAAAACGATCCATGCATGGAAGAAACTCATGCGCTTGGTATGGAACGGCGACGGCGACGATACACCAGCAAACAAAACCAACAGCAACGACAACAACAACAACAGCAACAAAAGCAACTACAACAGCAACGACAACAACAACAACAGCAATACAACAGCAGCAACAACAACAACAACAACAACAACAACAACAACAACAACAACAACAACAGCAACATCAACGACAACAGCAACGACAACAACAACAACAACAACAACAGCAACAAAAAAGAAAAACAGCAGAAGACGTCTCTATGCCTTCATCTACCGAGCAAACAGACGGAGACCATCCCGGCGTGCGGAAAAAGGAAAACGTTGCTGATCAAAGTGCGTGACTTCCAGTAGTGCCGGTAAGCGTGAGCCCGTTTCGCCGGCACTGTACCGGCACCGGCAAAGTGAAAAAAAGCACGTTGGTGTTTACGTCAGTCCGGAGCGAGTGCACCAAGTATTGGCACCATCTAAGAGGCACCACTGACGGGGGGGGGGGGGGGGGGGGGGGGGCCCCATCAAAAAAATTACCTGGGGTTCTAAAAAGAAACCCCGGTTAAAGGGGTAAAAACCCCAGTCCATAAAAAAAAAGGGGGCCATTTTTTCCTGTTTGAAGAGAATTTTCACCAGGGCCCGGGCCCCCTGGGGGCCCCTCCCCAATTGGCCCCCAACCAAAAGGGGTTTCCCCTGGGGGGGGTATCTGCCCCCAAAAAAAAAAACAACCCCAAAAGGGGGGGAAAAAATGGGGAAACACGGGGGGAAAACTTTTGGGGGGAAATTTCCCCCCCTGGGCCCCCTAAAAACCCCAAAGCTTTGGTTACCGGGGGAAATTTTTTCCCGGGTTTCCTGCAAACCAAAAAAAGCGAAAACCCCCCCCCCCGGGTTTACGGTTTCCACCCCTGAGCCTTTTCCCAAATGTCTAAAACCAATGTTGTCCCACTTGCCCCTTGGAATTTTGGGCACCAACAAAAATGTAAACGGGAGGTTCCCCCCCATTGGGGTAAAAAAAAGGGGACCCAAATCCCCGAAGGGCCCCCAAAAAACCCAGGA